GGAGGCAGTATGACCTCTGCAACGTTGGTTAACATCGACCAGACTACACAGCGCAACAACCCAGAAGACAGAAATCTTCATACTCATCGCCCTGATATTGGAGGCAGTATGACCTCTGAAACGTTGGTTAACATCGACCAGACTACACAGCGCAACAACCCAGAAGACAGAAATCTTCCTATTCATTCTGAATCAGAAGGGATATGATAAAAAATGCTTAATTTACCAGAAAAATCCTTGATTAGTGTACGTATCAATGATAACTTAGAAGTGGTTTCCAGCGATGAAACCTCTCGGTTATACTACATGTGTGGTATATAAGCCGAAGATTCACTATTGATAACACTGAAGACCACCAATGGACATGATCCTGATAGCTACTTGTACTTTTATTCAGTGTCTATCTCACAACCATCCCCTCCCTTAGACCTTCCTCAATATCGTTCTGCAATTACCTTCCTGGCCTTCTATTCTGAACTCAAGTCACTTGAACAGTAAAACCAATTTAAACGGCGATCCATATGAACATTATTATTAGTTACACAACTTTCGACAGTTAGTTCTGTCAGCTTGACACAATCAATGCCGCGTGCCTGCCTTAAAATTACGATGTGGACGGCCGTGTGTGTGAACGGGTAAAATTGGCTGAGTGACAAATCGGTTATTATGTTTCGTGCAGTTAGTGACAAAGAGTGACTCGCTTGATGACAAAGTATAAGAATTTAAACACTTCATGAGTAGGAAATTATTTAACGAAGAGAAATCTTTGGTGAGAAGACGTTATATGAAATTATAAACGAAAAAACTACGTGTGAGGTGGCATTGACATGTGATTTACGTTTATGTATGGCGTCTGTCTTCTGTCTAAAACGAGATACTAAAACGAATTAATCTCACAGATGCTCGTACTATAGGATAAACTATAAAATCTAAGTAACTGAACTGAACCATCCTTTTAATTCCAATGTTAACATTACTGGCGTTGTTTTAATTCTTGTAGTTAGTTCCTCATGTGCTCGAAATGCGTTTTCTATCTTTCGAATTCTATTGGACGTTTCGTACTTCTACCTTTATGAGATTGTATCAAAGGGTTGGAAATATATATTTCAAAGTTCATATTCACCCTTTAGTAAAATGTTTATTAACCCTTAAAAAACAAATGACACCCTATGTTATACCCTCTTCTTCAATCGGTAAATTTTTATTTTGTCTTTATTGAGTTCGTATGAGACTCACTCTAGAACTGGAATTACTTACTTAAACGGCTTAATAAATTGATCTTTGCGATGGTGAAGAGTTGTGTTTACTTAACAATACGGACTTAATCATCAAGTGTTATCTAGACGAGATTCGGCTCCATAAGAATCAAAGGATGACTTTACCGACGTATATTTCTATTTCCTAGGACCAACGTATACATCAAGCGACCGAAAGAGTACTCCCTGTCGTGGAATGTTCCCATGGCTCCATTCAGCTTTTGGCTTTGGTTCTGCGTCATGGTGGCTATGGGTCTCCTGTCACTTATACTTCCTCTTGCCTGCAACATCCAGCGTCACCATGGCAACCGGAACGAAAGAGCGTTTGGTTTTCGAGACTCCTGGTTGTGCACATTGGGTATCTTCTGTCAGCAAGGTAGGTACAGATACGTTTGCCGTATTAAAACTCATCAACAAGATATCACAAATTTTGACTGAACTTTTTGTTTGTGAAGGAAGTTTTTTTTTCAGATGCGGACGTCCATTGTGTCCTGGTCCAAACGAACCATGATATTTCCATTTCTAACCCCGCCTATGACATTAATTTATTTGCATATTTCTCATTACTATCATTATCCAAAATATGATCATTCTCTCATGAGCCACCCATGAGGCATCCATGTATTTAGGAAATTAGAACCGGAGTTGAATCAGTTGCTAACAATCAGCTGAGTCCTCATGTTAGTCTGGTAGAATGAAGACCACTCACTTCTTCGAGTGTCGTTTCAGGTCACAACGAGACGCCGCGCTCCTGCGCGGGCCGCGTGGTGTACTTAACTTCTCACATGTGTGCCATCGTGCTGTTGGCCGGCTACGCAGGAAACTACATCTCATACCTGAGTGCGGGTCGTCCCTTGGTAATGCCGTTCACGTCGCTGAGCGAAATGCTGGACGACGGGTCCTACCGCCTGGGGGTCATTGCCAAATCTGCGCAACTCAACTTCTTTGACGTAAGAACTTGTTAAAAGGAATAATTAAATCAAGTTTCCGTCAGCTTGCATACCTGACGTTAATAGGTAATTAAAGCCACATTATCATTTGGAGTCCGCTGATATCGGTCGAGATAAATTTTCTATTTGAGACTGCTCTCACTACTCACATTTTGTTAGAGGGGATTGTAGTTGTAGTGGTCTTTGCGATGATGGGCAATCTTCTGGCTAACGATGTCATGGCGGATTATTCCCTATAATTTTCTCGTGATTGGGCTGATGGGGATTCCCCACATGAAACTTCCCGAGTGTGTATTGTCCATTCGGCGATTACTCACAGTGACTTGTGCTCGCCGTGGGTCTCCATGTCCGTCATCTTAACCTCATTGTAACAAAACCTGGAATGTATCAACACATTTTAGTAAGTGCACTCGATATGGAACTTAATGAAAACGTTCTCAGCCATTTTCGAGTTTCAACAGACAGACAAGGCGAAGCCAAGTGACAGCTTTTGTTGCTAACAACCCAAAAAATCGCGGACAGGTATCGATGCCCGGAGCGTGGTACGAACCCCAGATTCAGAGATAAAGCTGCCTAATACACCATGTGCTGTGGATCGCGGAACATGAATGACATAAATCTACCAGTATTGAGGATCAGCGGTTCCAATCCCAGCTGCCATACCCTCTAGTGTGGTCCAGAGGATTATACGAAATAGGTCAATACATCACACCCACTTGTTGATTCCGCATTCCACAGTGGCTGATAGAGAATATTCCTTCCTGTAGAAAGCTACCGACTCGCTGTTCAAGGAGGTGTACGAGAAGCTCATCCTTCCTGATATCCACAATCTGCCTTCCGATTACGTTGACGCTTTTAAACGCGTCTGCGAGTCGAAATACGCCTTCATGTCCTCGGCGAACGTGATGCGTCGCTTCACTGCGAACCTCAGTTGCAGCGTCATCGCACTCCCTCGCGCTACCATCCCAGGAGTCATCGCCATGACGACCGCCAAGAAGTTTCCGTATCTAGGGCTCATAAACCACAAGTGAGTGTTGACAGAAGTAGAACTTAGATTTATGATGTACCCCTTAACACAGTAGACTTATCCTTATGCAGCGGTGAAGTCCTCGATATTTGTCTTCTTGATTGCAAAACCGTGTACCTAGCAGGTAGATATCAGCATTTCGGAGAAACATTTCAACTCTAGCCCGAGTCTGCTAGAAACCACATTTGGCAGAGTCCCGGTCCCGCACAGAACGGTTCTCACAGAGATCGGGTGGCGAGAATATTAAAAAAAATTCACGTTTTTCAAAATTTTCGAAAAATCAAGTAATTAAGGAAAATGTCTAAATTGCGCAAAAACTAATCTTTTAAAAAAAAATATTTGAAATTTTTTTAATATTAACCTTTTCAAAGATTATCAGTTTTGTGCGCTTCTTGGGCTATTTCCAGCAATTTTTGATGTTTGGACATTTTTTAAACATTTGAAAAGAATTATCAAAATAGTCCCATCCGATCATCACCAGAACATTTCCGGTAGGTTGTCTTGCCACACCCGGTCTCTGCCGCACTAGGTCTTTGCAGAGAAGGCCCGTTAGTGAACGGGTCATACAGAGAACGGATCGTGAACAGAGTCCGGCAGAGACCAGGTCCTATAGAGACAGGGTGCTTCAGAGACCGTGCCAGGCAAACAGCGATTCTGGCAGGTAACTGGTGGAGACAAATTTAAAAAACCCAAATTTTACAAAGTTTTCGAAAAACAAAAAATTATGGAATTTGTCCAAAAAGTGCATGAAACTAAATAAAATTCAGAATTTTCAAACTCAAAATTTTTTAAAAAATTTCGAAAATTATTGGATTTTGCACTTTTTAGAAAAATTTCAGAATAATTTAATTCTTCGAAATATTTGAAATTTTTTCCAAAATTGCCCCATGCGATCATCACCATAGCACATCTCTGGTAGTCCGTCTTGACACACTTTCTCTGCGAGATCCGGACTATGCCAAAGGCGGAAAACATCAAGACCCGGTCTCCGCATCACCCGCAACATGCCCTACGCAGTCTGCCTCAAACGGTCTCTGTCGGACTAGGTCCCTGCCTCACCCGGTCTCCGCCGCGTTAGGTCTTTGCAGAGAAGCCTCGTCAGAGACCGGGTCATACAGAGAACGGATCGTGCATACTCCGGCAGAGAAAGCGTCAGAGGCAAAAAAATTTTGGAGGTGAAATTTTTCAAAAATGTTTGGTTTTGTGCGCTTTTTGGACAATTTTAAATATTTTTTGATTTTTCGAAAATATTGAAAATTTTCAATTTTTTTTCAAAACTCTGCCGAAGAGATGCATGCCAGCCTCTATGTCACCGGGTTGCTGAA